CCCCCCCCAAAATGCACCAGGGACTGTCCAACCCTGCTTTCTCAATTGTATGCATCTGCTACGTAAATGCTGAGTGTTCTGGAATGGAAAGCAGCCACAAGCCCATGTTTTCAACCATATGCCATAAGTATAGTTTAGGCAGACATGCTACAATCACATCAACAGTGACATGGCCTTATTTAAGATGGTGTTTTGTTGTCAAATTAATTCACGAGAGATCCACCATTTACCATTTTCAGCTTAACAATTTAGTTTAACATTCCCTTTTCTATTCTTAACTGCTGCTGTTATTGCTATGCAACTATCATTTAGAAGAAAAAGACAATACCATTTTTTTTCTTTTTCCCATTTATATACTGAGCAGTATATTAAATTCCTGTCTACCAGAAGCACATGTGACATTTTCTCCACAGTAATGCTTTGCTATTGTGGGCACCAGTTTCTTGGGTGAGATTTTGGGAAGGTGTTTTGCTATTGATTGAAAGATGTGTGTTACATGGTGTATTATAGATGAATAATGGTGTACAGTGTAAAAATGTAATTAGAAAAATACCTGGAAATGTCTATGTAAAAGTGTAATGTATATTTTTACACCAAAACAACCTGTAATGTATGCTGATTCCAGTTAACAACATTACTTGAGATAGTGGTTTTCTCTACGCGTTCTTTTTAATCTTCTTAAACTGTCTTCTGTAGGAAAAGTGTAAAGCTGTAACTGGTAGTAAGAGGTTGATATTGCATTTTAACTGTTCTTCTTATTCTTATTAATAAACAAATATTTTCTAACAAGAAGTTCCATTGCGTTGTTTTCTTGTGAATTTCTCATTGGTCTCGCGGTTTAATTTTTTGAGTTCAGTGATTACCACATTTGGCCGACATTTGCGGCATCCCCTTTAAAAGCAACTCCTTTTTGTTCAGTATGTCTGTTTCCCTTTACGCTAGTCAAACGATGCACATCAATGGGGACACAGAGTCACGTATTACACGTAATCCCTGATCGTTAGCTTTCTATGGAGGCTGTATGCTACACGATACGCATCCGGGAAATCGCTTCACATGTAACTCACTACCAACTTTAAGTTGATAAACTAGTGGGGCATTACAAGCTTCCTTAGTCAATTGGTTCGAGTGTGATCCTGAATGAACTGTTCTCTTTACTATAGCAGTATCTCGCCCTGCACTTCCACAAAATTGGCAACGCTGTAAGAGGAAGGACAGCTACGCTTGGTGTGAAATTTGTAGTGCATTCTAGGGCTCACTTCCTACAAACACTATATCTTGTCTTAACGCGTCAGACAAAATAGTATATTACAACCTGAGAATAACTTGATTAATACCTTCTTTTAAATATCAAATTACACGCGTTCGCGCCATTTCGTAAAGGCCGTTTAACAATAGACTTCTTGTTTCGCTCTCTACGCCTTTGCTGGGTTCTGGGGAATGTAGTTTTCTGAATTCGCCACTTCTTTTAAGTACTGCATGCATTTTGTTCTCGGGCCTGCCATTCCCAGAATGCAACATTCTTAAATGTCTGGTATTTCATCATCCCATTGGCTGTATTTCTTTTGAACGAGACCAGTGTAATCCTTATATGGCCTTCCTATGACGTTACCACCCGTGTCAATGTTTTTATGCTAATGATATTCTAATGTAAGGCTATATGCGGTTGTAGTAAGGCATGCGCAGTGCCGTATCGAGAAAACAGCAACGATTCAAAGTTTTGTTCGGTAAGTCGTGTTTATTTTGACGTTTGTGGCATTGTCTCGATACAAACTGTCAGCGGGCAATTTAATCGCGTAAGTGTGCATGGGGAAACTTAATGGATGTCTCGCGCATGCTGAAAAGTGTACAGAGAGACTTGGGCAAGGTGATCATTTGCGCACAACAATAGGAGAACGTGGATGGGGCGCGCGGCGTGGTTGTAACAAAAACTAAGTGTGGGACGTAGGGCTTTCGCGCTTTCCGTGGCCGAAAGTTGGACTTTTCTAAGACAAGCTTATGGCCAGGCATGGTCCGTACGCGGCTTATTTGGGCTGCCGTAGGCGCCAGCTAGATTGGGCGCAGAAGCTGTTGTTAAATTTAAGTGAAGTTTTGCGTGTATGCTTGCTATAGCGTGCCTTCAAAGGGGGGGGGGGGACCCTCCTGCTTTTTGTTTTTGCATTTCGGCTTTGGTTAAGCGGACTTTTACCGTGAATTGATGCAAAATCATTTTAATTTGACTAAAGTCGAATTTGATGTGTTTGTTTTTATTCGTGAGCGCCGTATTTCGGGCATTCCGCATACGCGTTTTTTTTAAGACGGGACCTTTGATTGTTGCATGATGGCGTCAGAGTTAGATATTCCGATGGATACAGTTACGCTGGGTTAAGGCAGAGATGCCGCGGCGTCGTGCAGACGTTTGTTTAAATGTAAGCGTTTTAGAACTCGTTATATATTGAGTTTAACTGCGCTGTGTTTTTAGCGAGTTATTTGTTATATAACTGCAAAAATGTGCGTGTCGACAACCGCGTGTCTCGAGCGCGTCGTGGAGTTTCAGCGAGATTTGTTTATCATATTTAGTGCGGGGCGACGTTGGGTTTAATTTTGAGGCAATAATACACGTTAAACAGTTTATGGCTGCGCCGAGCGGTTTCTAAAGCTCGCGTTAGCGAAACGTGCAAAGTAAGATTCATAGCTATTTGTATGTTTGGGGACAGCTATGCGTTTTGATTAAAAGTAAATGTCTTTTTTTATTGGCTGTAAGCGTTTCATAATTGAAGCAAACAAACGAATTAACTAAAGGAGACCTCGCGCAAACCCCTTCCATGCTCGTGGTGTCCGCCCCCAGCGCGCCAATGCTTTTGCCTGCTTTTGTATTTCCACGTTGTTTTGTTTTTCTGCTCGCAGCTCTTCGTCTTCCACCCCATCTGAGACCTTAATCGCATTCGACAATGTTTGGCTTTCACAAGTCCAAGATTTATCGGAGCCACGAAGGTTGTTGCATTTGCAAGACCAAGTCGTCCAGCTCTCGCTTCACAGACAGTAGCAGATACGAAGAAAACTTCAGGCTGTGTTTTGGGTGAGTAGCGCTGCGCATCTTTATCGGAGTTATGTGCCCCAAAGCTGAGCTTGATGTCTAAAAATTGTGACCTTTACAAACGTGCTTTCATTTGTTATTTTGCAATAAAGACTGTTTTTTTTTTTTTACTGTATGTTATTTAGGAATTTTTGAATGACATATAATTTAAATATTCCCCTTAAGGCTTGTGGAAGATCGCGTAGGAGACATCTGCAATGCATGTGTCCTGCTGGTGAAGAGATGGAAAAAACTTCCGCTTGGATCCAAGAAGAACTGGAGCCATGTAAATCCTAATTTATACAACTTTCATCCCACTTTTGCTGTAAATGTAGAGTTTTGGTTGGAATAGAATTGGGTTAATTGTGGTAGTGATTATTTTTTGTGCTGTGTGAACGACCAGGTGGTAGATGCCAGAGCAGGTCCCGGCTTCAAGCTGACCAAACCTAAAAAAGTGAAGGGCAGTGATGGGAAGAAGAGCAAGCTGGGACAGCTACACAAGCTCAAGAGGCGGAGTGAGTGCCGTTTCTCTCTTATTCTGGGATTTCCCCTCTGCAGTATGAGCCAGTAAGCTGCTTGTTCTGTACACTGCACCAGGGAAAGGAACTGTTGGCCTCTTCTCGTACCACAGTACTCATTAGGGAAAGATGGCCGTCTCTGTCACTCGCTGATGCCGTGTCCTCCTCCTGTACCCTAGACTCGGACGCCCACAGCACGACCTCCAGCACGTCGCCCTCTCAGTCGCCCAGTTACAGCAACCAATCGGACGACGGTTCGGACATCGAGGCTAAGCGGAGACACTCGACTCCGGCCCTTTTCTCCTTCCTGGACCTCACCTACTGGAAGAGGTATGGAGGAGGAAGCCGACGGACGCGGCGTCGACGGAAACGCTGGTGCTTCCGGATTCTGTAGACCTGATATCTACACGTTTCTGCCCCCTCTCCCCAGGCAGAAGGTGTGCTGTGGGATCGTCTACAAGGGTCGCTTTGGCGAGGTGATGATCGACCCCCGTCTCTTCAAACCCTGCTGTAGATCCAAGAAGCAGGAGGCACTGCCACCACCTCCTGATGCCCACCCTGACCCCCTGCCAGAGGACCTGAAGGAGAGCTGGTGATTGGCATCCATCAGGTCCTCCTCAACATCCCTTAGCTTTGTCTCCAGTGGCAGACTGCACCCCCCACCCCCCCCCAAGCCCCCTGGACCTGTTCCTAGATTGCTGAAAATCATTTGGAGCTAGTGTCACTATTATAATCTTTTGTAAAGTTGTTTTTCTTTCTTTCTTTGTGAAAACAAAGACAAGAGGTGTTTTTTAAACTATGGGCATTAGTGAGATATTTATAGGACCCAGGAGGCACAGTTATATATGGCCTTAAAAGGCAAATTTTCTTTTTTATGCATTTCTCTGTACATTTTTTTTTATATATATATATCGCCAGTATCTGCATTTGTACATATATTGTAGTGCGTTGATTGCCTCCTGTACATTGTTTTGCTTATGTTTCATGCAGTCTGGGGAAGAGTTTGTACTAATGTGAGCAGAATTCCAGCAGTGAATCCCGAAGCTCATTGTCAATTTGAGCTGAATATTGCTAGAAGCCAAGTTGTGGCATTTTGGAAGCACTTGCCCCGTTCCCCCCCCCCCCATTTTCTTTGTTCCCCATTGAAGTGTTGCTTTTGCATCGTTATATTTGCTGCCTTTTTTAAAATAAGTTTCAGAATTGGACAGAGTCCTGCATTCGGCGGCATGGAATTTGTCGGGAATTCACTTGCCACCTTTTAGCCCTTCCTCCCTGCGCCACTTAAAAGCTGGTTTTGGTTCCGTGTCGTACATGCTGGTTACCTGTCGACGGCATGGCGATCGTTTTACTAGGGGAGAGCAAGCGGCTTGGGTGACAGCACAACTTTTGATACGGGTGTTGCATATTTGCAGCAGATTATATGCAGAAAATCACTCCTGTATTTGCCTATAAATAGCGATGAGTGTTAACACGAATGTCGTCTTCCAAGAAACTGATGCAAGGTGGTGTACTAATACTGTAAAATAATAATACTGTAAATAGTTACAATGGTTAAGAATATTGGATAGAAATTGGACCGAAACCTATTACTGCAGCTCTAGCTTGGAAATGATTCTACAGTGAAATATTCAACGTTTGTTCAGATTGTACCATTTTTGCGAAGATCTATAATGATACGGGTGTGTAAGTCCTTATGTTATGACATTAGTACTGGTCAGGGTGGTAGAGTTGCCATTTTGGGCACTGGACAGCTTCAAGAAACATTAAAGGGTATTGTGAGAACTACATGTCCTTGTTTGTCATGAAGACATTGAGTTCATTACACGTTACCAGCATGTTTATATGTGCGAATAGGATCGTGCTGTCAGTCTAACCACCGCCAAGTTGTTTCCCTGTGTTTGTCATTCAGGGGAACTTCAGCTTAAAACCAAATCTACTGCTTATTGCAATAAATAAATGGTCCATATTATTATGAGTCCCTGTACAGTAAACAACAGGAAATGGGTTTCTAGAATTGTTCAGTCACTTCTTGGGGACTTCTAATCTTGGGAGGCTAATAATTGCAACCCTCTGTGAAAGTTATTACGGAGCACCAAAGCCCATTTTTATAGTTCTGTGACCTATGTTGTTTTTCTGTTTATTGCCCGATGTTTGAGTCGGCCAATTAAAAGCAACCGGATGAAGCTTTATCTTCCACATGTCTTATATTCGTACCACCCAGTAGTGCATGTGTGTTTTTTTTATTTTATTTAAATTACACTACTTGTATGCAGATGAGCTGCATCCATCGAATTGTCATCCAGTTAATGTTCTTTTCTTTATTTTGGGGGGGACACTAGACTATCATATTTGGCACAGAAGTGGTTGGCTCCTGGAATTTCAATACATAGGAATTAATAACACGATATATAAACTTTTTGGGTTACATTTTAAATCATTGTTTCAAGCTTTCCTTACAGTTTTTGGACAAGATTCTCTGGCAATGAATGGAATGTGCCTTAGAAAATGGAAAACCATGCCGTGATTTCATTTTTGTTGGACTCGCGTTTAATTTATATTAATTTATTTTCAACATATTCTGCGCACACTTTGTGCTGTAAATACTTTTATTCAGTTTTATATGTATGCACTTTTTGTTAATTTTGATGCTATTTTATATCTGCTGTACTCTTGTATGTTAATAAAATGTGGGGAAAATTGCTGTTTCTTGGTGTTTATATTATTTTTACTATTATTTCCGGTAATTATTGTTCGGTCCGCTCCATAAGAGTATTATCCTGTAATACTACCTAATATCCTCTTACTATACTTAACACTAGGTGGCGCCAAATGTCAGTGTTTTATTTGAAATACATTTTTAGATTTTTACTTTCGTTTAAATCTCACTGCATATTTCACTTAACGTTAGGTTCATGTCTAAACGCAATAACCACACTTAAACCTGCAAGGTATTGGATTGTTGGACTTCATTTTGGCATATTTGAGACTCGTATTTGAATCCGAACATGTAGACGAGGTGTCTACATGTCTACATTCAATGTGAAGTCGACGGGCGAAAAGCTACCGTCTGATGCGCATATCGCCTGTGTAACAAACGCGCACAGCAATACTTTCTCTTGTGCTTTAACATTGACCAGAGCACTTAAATCCTTGTCTGACGTATCTTGGGTATTTCCTCAAAAATCGCTTCATTTCATGCGTAAAGGGCATGACTGTACACGCACACTGGCAAGCAGAGCCCAAAGAGGGGGAGCCCGTTTCGCAGATCGGAGATCCCCGCACGACTCCATCGCGTCCCGCACCTCACACCGACTCGCACATCCGGCATCTGGTTTAGCAGAGATCCGCTGGTGCTCACCGGGGGTGTTGATCACGCCTCCAGCTCACAGCCCGGTGTTCTCCTTCTGCAGTCGGACTACATGCCCTGCATTTGTCCACCATGTTTGGCTATTGCGCCGAGGCACCATGAAAATAAATATTGTAATTTCAGCATTCAACCGTTGTTACAATTGTCTTTGCTGAGCGGGTGTTAGGAAGCACAGGCGACGCCGGCACGAGAACATAACTTTTTCTGTTAAGATCCGGTTTAGTGTTGAGATGTCAAGGGTGTTTTATGAAGAAAACAGATTCCCTGCCACAAGCACCCATGCAATGACAACAGCATCTCTGTCGTTCTCAATCAGCCCCAAATACATTGTACACTTTACAATTAGCACGATTTTGTTGTTGTAGTAACCGTGCAACAGTGAATATTGTATTTTCAGTTGTCTTATAGGTTAATAGTCGCTTTTTAGACTGTGGTGAGTCAACAATGTTTGTCAAAGACTGGCGAAATGAGGCTTTGGTGGGCGGGATGATCCCGGCCGGTCAATAACCTGCGGGTTCATCCCGCGTGCCGTTTTACCCATTGCATGGCGCGCCCACCCAGCGCGGATCGCAAACCTGCATTGCTTCCGTGGCGGAGTTTATTTCGAGGCATTATGGAGTCACATATCCATAAACAGGAATGAATTTATAATTGCCGAACAGTAGCCCACACAGTTACACTTAGACAAGTATTTAATGCTATTATTAATATTATTATAATATGTACATGTTCAAAAGCAATGACATTAACATTAATATTTTTCCTGCATCAGCTGTGCTGTGTGGTTAATGTTTCAGGTTTTTGCCCAGCGTTGAAGACTGTAACCACCTTTTGGAGGACTTACACCACTGATATGAATGTGGGATGAAGTTCATTTCCGGATCAAGAAAGAAGCTCCTTTATGGCCAGACGCAGCGCTTTTCACTGTTTCCGTCCTGCAGCTTTAATATAAAGCCAGGGAAATGTTCTAATGTTCTGCGTTTGTCCACTAGGTGCCAGCGTTGCAACGCAGTTTATCCGAAGCTCATAGCTATCGCCCTATTCCAATACTCAATCCTGCTGCAAGAGCTGAAAAAACATAAAATTCCTGAACTTGTCTTTATTGTTCTACAATATATTTGTCAGTCTACATCTGCATTCTCCTTCTTGAATTAGGGGAAACCGAAAGTTGTTAATCATCCTGGTTTGAAATGTGAGATTTATTCAAACACAGTAACACTGAATCATATCTTGAGGCAAACTATGTTCGTCGATAGAAAGCAAGTTTTACGTCGTTTGTAATATTTATAGCATCAAAGTTAAATTGCGTAGTGAGATTGCCCTTTAGAATTATGGTGGTGAAATTGCTCCATAGATAAACCTTGACACTGCCTGTTGTTGCTGTCTGGTAGCAGATAAATCAGAGCTAGATAAGATTTTAACAACTCTGAGCTATTAGTTAAGTTCTCCCCAAGCAAGCTCGAAGGGCCGAATGGCCCCCTCTCTTTTGTATAGTTCTTATGTTCTTATGTTCTTAGATGGAGGAACTGCTTGAAGGATTTGAGTTAAATCCTCCCGGTTATATGGGGACGGGTTCATGTTTGCTGTGGCGTAAATCATACAGGCACTGCATGGGCCACCCCTGCGAGGCCCTAAAATGTTTTGAAGCTACAGGAGAGGCCTAGAGTCAGGGAGAGGTCATGGCAGGTGGTTTGCATCAACAGCGGGTGGAGCTTGTAAACTCATAGGCGTAGCGGGGGGGGGGGGTCACTCCCCCTTTCCATTTTCATCTAACTTTTACACCACTGGCAAACATCGTCTACTGGAAGCTGGAGAAGGTATGGCTTCAGTATCCTGACCCACCTTGGGTTCTGTTCTGAGCTGCTTCTCACTCAGGCGCCCATGCTCCCCAGGCACTGGGTAAATCGACAGTGACATGGGGACATGGGACTCGCACAGAGGTCTCAGTGTCCCTTCGAGGGGCATAGCAGGATAATAAAATACCCCTGTTAAAGCAAGCCAAAAGCCCATTGCTACATCTTCACCAACGCAGGAGGTGTAAAATGTGTGAAGTGAATGGAAAAAACAGAAAAACTAAACTAAAGAACTAAAGTCATTTACACTGTAGTGATGGTCACTTGATTCACCAGAAAGGAGTGTTTGCTGAAGGCTGGGTTGCAACCCTGTTAATTAAAAATATATATACATTTTTATTATTATTGCTTTTATCTAATGTGACATACATTTTTTTTGAGAAAGTGGGATCAGACCCTGTAATTTAAACTAGTGACCTTCAGATGAGGAGCACAGCATCGCAACCCACTGTGAAACCCAGCGCCCCCATGTGGTGAGCAGTGTGATGACGGGAACAGGGAACCAGCCAGGAGGAAAACATCTAGCGGTATGTGCTGGCTCGCAGTTGCGTAAATCCACATCCCCGTTCTACGATGACGTCACAGGCCTATCACAGAACGGGGCAGAACGTCCCAGAATCCGGAGCCGCGATTTTCACTTGTGGAAAAGCGGTATGATAGAAGTCCGGGGGATTACGGTTCGGGGAGCGACACGTTGGACGTTCTCCATAAATGGACACTTGGCACTGAGAGCAGTGGATGCCGGTTTACACTGAGATCAAAGGCTGAGCAGTTAAATAAACATTCTCAGATGGAGTTTTTGGAATAATGGATGAATCTGTCCTTTAAAAGCTCGCTATAGCCTAACGCCGCCCCCGCTGGCTGCCCACCAGAATACACACGGTGCCATACTACACTTTCCCTGACTTATAAGGGTCTGGGCCATCAGACGCGGAGAAGTGCGATAGACGATGTCCTGTAAATAACTCCCTCGCCGTCTCCTCTTTGCCTCCTCCAGACCACCTCCTCCAGACCACCTCCACCCAGACCACCTCCTCCAGAAGACCTGCCTGTGTGGTCACTAAAAAAAGAAAAACACACAAAGACGTGACCTGGCGTCGCAGTGTTGTTTTTACTCTGCTGCTAGTATTTCGGAGGGGATTAGTGCAATTAACACAGATTCCAAACCCCCCTTTCCGATTAGCTCGCCAACACGACCGCTATGGATCTGAGTGAAAGCTTCAGCTCGACGTTTGGTGAATGAACCCCTGCCGATGATTAAACACGAGTGGGACGGACAGTTCACTACGGCCAGGAACATGTGATCACCGCAGCGCAAAGGACACACCTCTTTGTTTGTGCTGCCATCCCTGTGGCCAGCAGGTGTCCTAGCAGTTGACGAGCTGAACTGGAAGCCCTAGTGTAAGGTTTGAATCCTAGACTTGGTTCCGCAGTATTGTTGATTAATTAACCTTACTTCATTAATCATTCTGGTATAGGCAGAAATCATTAGAGGTTCTGCTTGCTTCAGGTAAAGACTCCTGGTAAAAAAAACAAATCAGAAAGTAGAAAACCACGCCACAAGCTATGCTCTGGGTGCTCGAGATTTATACCTGTACTGTCACATTTCTGTATAACATCCAGGGAGTTGTGTGGGCCTCAGTTCTGGGAAAAAGGCATTAGGCGGTGGATGGGGGCTGGCATGTAAATACAGGCCCTCGGATAAGGTCTGGTGTTTCTCTCCAGATATCTGCGATGCCTCCATGCTCACTTTCAAAGGGCATCCGCTAGGTGTCAAGGACTTCTCACCACGACCTGGGGCCTGTATCACGAAACAGGATTTTTTGCTTAGCCGGATAACTTGTCAGATTTAAGGTAGTCTGGGCTAAATAGATAAGCCAAGATAAAGTCGATTTAAAATGGGGGTAACTTAAATCCGACAAGTTATCTGGCTTCGTGATGCAGGCCCCTGTGCTTAATTAGTTATTAAATCCAGCATGGCGCTCCAGAACAATGGCTGATTTCAGATTATAGTCATTTTGATTTCAGGAAAAACAACATTGGGGCCGGTATAGTGGTGCAGTGGTTAGCAATGCAGGACCTGTGTTCACATCTTTGCAAAGGTCCCATGTGTGTGGGGTTCTCCCCGCGCTGTCATGGGGATTCCCCTTACTGTCTAAAAACATGCTAAGGCTAAACAGAGTTGCCAAATTGCCCACAGGGGTGTGTGTGTGTGTGTGAGTGACTGGTGTGTGTGTATTTGTGAGTGTGTGTTAGTGTGTGTGTGTGTGAATGATGCGTGTGTGTGAATGGTGTTTGTGCGTGTGTGTGTGTGTGTGTGTGTGTGAGTGAATGGTGTGTGTGTATTTGTGAGTGTGTGTTAGTGTATGTGTGTGTGAATGGTGCGTGTGTGTGTGTGAATGGTGTTTGTGTGTGTGTGTGTGTGAGTGAATGGTGTGTGTGTATTTGTGAGTGTGTGTTAGTGTGTGTGTGAATGATG